GGTGGTCTTGGAACCAAAGCTGGCACTGCCTGTGCCACACAGCTGGCCCAGCCACCCTCAGCAGTTTGTTTCCCCATAGCCTCCTTGTGCTCTGCTCTCAGCCGCAGTGACTCGCCGCTGCAGGTGACAGTTGACTCTCCTGTCTCAGTCCACCACATTTCCTGCTAATTGCCATGCACGGTGCATGATCCATGATGCAGGCTGGTCTCAATAGCCAGACCTTGGAAAGGCTCTGGTTCCTGATGACTGGGTGCGCACCACTCTATGGAATGTCCTCACTTCCCATTACTAAGGAAAGTAGAGAGGACTGTCTGAGCCCCCACCCCCACCCCCAGGGAGCAACCAGGTCATGCCAACATCTAACCCTACCTCACTAAAGGTGTATCTCAGGCCCAGACTGGCCCAGCTTCCTCCCCGCTTACAGCTCCTTAGTTACCCTGGATTTCTTCACAGCGCTTCACCCATCTATAGGTTTATCTTCTTAGCCAAACTGCAGGTTCCTAAGATGAAGAGAGTGCCTGGTCCCCACCCTCTCAGGACATCAGCACTAGCTCAGAGAGTCCTCAGCTACCCATAGCAAACACAGAGCAAGTCCTTCCCACAGTGAGTACCTACTGTGGAACCTATGCTCCACTGATTGCTGGCTTGCTTGGCTCATAATGCCCCTGCCAGGCACAGTTACCATCTGGAGCTAAGCCCAGGGAAGCCCCACTCTACAGCAGGGTCTCCCATGACAATCTGAGCACACATGAAGTTTAAAATCCTAAAACCGAAAACTGATTTTGGTAATAGGCTGTATGTAACCCAAGAGATCCAAAATGTTACCATCTCAGCATATCACCAATAGGAAACACTATAATTAATATTTCTTGGCAGTGCTACGACAGAACTAGAGCCTCACACATGCTAAGCTGGTGCTCTGTTTCTGAGCCACACCCCCAGCCCTGTGCGTCATAGGGACAGCACTTCTTAATTGAGAACAGCTACAGGTCAAGTACTCAGTCGCCTTGGGGGCTGCTGTATGGGCCAGCATGGCTTGGGGGCAATCACCAAGGGCAGCAGCCCTGGGCCCATACATTGTACTCTGACGGACAAGGAAGAAATGAACCAGAGTCCCAAGGATGCTTCCTGGACAGGTACTAATCCTTTATGAATTCACTAATGTTTATGATTCTTCAGACTCTCCAGCACCATCCCATCCACATGCACACTCTTAATTCACTGCTTTTTGAGATAAGGGTCTCATGTAGCCCAGGCCTACCTCAAACACACTAATTTGTATGTAGCCAAGGGTGACCTCAAACTTTTCTGATTTTCCTGCCTCTGCCATCCGAGTGTTGGTACCCTGGGGTACACCACCACAACTGGCTTTATGTGGCACTAAGGATGGAACCCAGCTTACCCAGCATGCTAAGCAAGCACTCTACCCATTGAGGTGCATCCACAGTCCTAGGCGTCTCACTCTCATTTCACAGGCAGGCACCAAACATCTTTGGGGTGGCAGGGCATCGAACATCTTTTTGCAATATATCATTGGCAGATGGCTGAGGATGACTTGAAACCCATGACCCTGAACTCTAAGTCCAGCGTTCTGCATGGGGTAGAGAGAGATGCTCCTTAGTAGGACTGTCTGTGTCAGGCCGAAGAGGGATGAGGCCAGGGAATATCTACTTAAGGCTTCAGGCTGGGACAAGAGCCCCCAGAACACCTTCTATCCAGGCCTGGAGGTGATGGTGCTCCTGATGTATGGGATGGCAAGCACAGGCTGAGGGAAGAGAGGGATCTGGGCCAAGTTCTCTATGGGAAAGAACCTGTCATTCCTCAGGCTCAGTGTGGCCAGGAGGGGCTGAGAACAAATTGATGGCAATAGAGTCATAACTTACCACTGAAGGCCTCTTTGTTCTTGGCAAAACAGAGGGGTCATTAGTAGTGGGGAGAGCACTCTGGTATAGACATAAATCCCCTTGCCTGTGGGCTGATAAACAACCTGGAGGGAACAGGGCCTCAGAGCTGGGAAGGCTGACTTTGTGCCCTGGATCACCTGTGAGCTGTGGCTTGTGTCTTACCTATGTGGGGCAGGTAGGTCGTGAGCAGATATAGTCACCACCACCAGGCCAGGCCGCTGAGGTACTTGGAGCTCAGGACAGGCCCCCAGGACCCTCACTTCCCCCCGCCCCCCAGAGCTTCCTTTCAGTGGAAAGTAGTTGTATCGGTTATGGGGTGTTCAGGCAGGGGTACCTGAACTATCTCTGTGCCTACTCAAGCTAAATGAACACTAGTGAAGCCATTCCAAATAGGGCTGACCACGACTATCTCCACAGAGGCAGGCATGAGGGATAGGCCTTGGCACAATGCTGTTTTCAGCTGTGTCTACACTGGCCACAGGAAGTAGAGATGAGGTCAAACCCAAGCCCGCCACCCACCTGCTTCCTGGGAATTTTGTCCTCCTGTCCTTCCATATCTAGACTCACCCTAAGGCTGGATCCTTGGGAGGCCTTAGCTGCTCAGGCTAGGGGCGTAAGGTAGACAGGAGCAGCGTAGGCCAGGCCAGCTGAACCAGGAGGATGGGAAGGGGAGTGGAGGACTGGTCCTCCCCGAAGCTGCCCACTGTCTGAGGGGTGGTGACAAACATCAGGGTCACCAAAGTCCAAGTGCCCCGGATGGCAAACATTTGACACATGCCTCCTCCTCTCTTTTTGCTCCCACAGCAGACTCTACTAATTGAATACCACATTTACTCATCCCACTGAGTCTCTTCAGGCAGTCATTACCAATCAATCAAAGTTGGCATGTGAAAGAGAACCCATTTGTCATTCTTTCCAAAGCCCTCAAGGCACAACTGTGTTGGAAGGAGGCATCCATCCAGCAAAGCTGTGAAAGTGCTCTGGCCTTCTAGAAGTTTCTGAATCCTGCCCCAGCTGCCCCCACACTTCTCCTAGGTCTCTCTTTTCATCCTCTTATTAGTACTAAGGAATCTGCTGCTGGGTATAACATTCTAGGAATCCTGGGAAGATGTAACAGGAGGTTGTCTCCTGACTGTGAACTCTAGGGCCCACCCAAGACACCAAAGACTCACCATCCCAGCCTCCAGCCTCCTTATCCAAGAGCATTTCGAAGGGGAAACTGGCTGGAGGATTGGGGAGGGGAGGATCTGGGCTGGCACCTAGCATGGACCACACTGAACCAGTGTCTTGGACAGGCTCCTGGTGCCACTGAGGGATTTCCATTCTGAGCTGATCTGCTCCTCACTTCCATCAGTGCTGGGGTATGGCAGTGAGAAAAGGAAGAGACCAGCCTGGGGTTCGTTGCACATTGACCCCCACATTCACAGCCTATCAGGCTCCTGGATGTTCTCAGACGTCCAGCGCCAATCCTCATCACTGGGAACACTTGCCATTTTTGAGCTCCTGGAGGAGCTCAGCATCAGAATCTCCCTCCTCTACCCCGTGCCACCAGGAGAGGACCTCTGTCCCTCGGGGGCACCTGGTCCCCCTATAGAATGGGCTTTTTCCTAGGATTGCTTTCCCATATTCTGACCTGAAGCCCACTCACACCTGAGCACATCTGAGCTGCTTTGTGCCATGAGCAAGGAGCATTCCTAGGCCCCAGTCCAGTCCTACAGGGTGAGAATCTCTGACTATACTCATGGGGGAGCCTGCGGATGCTGGGACATACTGGAACTTGAAAACGCACAACCCCAGAGTGACAGACATTCCACAAGTGTACAGCAGGGTTTCCTATGGGCTGGATCCTGCCTGCACATCAGCATGTGGGCATGGTGGGAGGCATCAGAGGGATGCAGGGGGCCAAACCCTCATTCCCATGGATGCTCAACCAGCCTGGCTACATCTGCTCTGACCTTTGGGACTCCCTGGGCTTAGAGGCAAAAGAATCTTGTAAGTAACTGCATATTGTAGGAGGCCTCTGACACCTCTGGTTTCCTGTAACCCCAGGAATGTAACCTGCAGCTTCCCTGGTCTCATCAGCTGCTGGCAGTAATAACAACAGCAAATGCTTACAAAGTCCTTTCCTTGCAGTCACTAAGCTCTTCACACAGTAAGGCATCTGACCTGTAAACCACTTCAACACTAGTACTCTTACTGCTCTCAATTTACAGGTGACATAGGAGACAGAGACCTACCCAGGACAATCAGCTCAGGAGGCCCTCTCCTCTCCCTTCTGGAGACCCACACATTTCTGTCTTTGGGAAGCACTCTGACCACTCCAGTCCCTGTTCTTAGGGTACAGGGTGCAGTGGGGGAGAAATGCTGGCCAGGTGGCCTGCTGTCCTCCTCTTCATCTGTCTGCCTTGCTGAATACATCAGGCTGACCCTTCAGAGGCTGGTAGGCTGAGGAAGACGCTATGACAAAGTGCATATGGGGCAGGGACAGAGTCAAGATCTGTAAGTAGGGGGGCCAAGTTGTTCCCCAGCCCTGCATAGCCCCACAGAGCTGACATGTGTCAGTCTTTGGGTGAGACACAAGCCAGGGACCCCCTCACCCAGAGCCATCAATTCTTTCAGTAGCTATTTCACACACCCAAGGGCTCTATTGGTGGGAAGGGGGTCGAGGTGTCTCCCCTGTGACATCCCAGACACGACCTCAATTCCTGATGTAGTGTGGAGAGGCCATGGAATCAGCTAAAGTGGCAGCTCTATTTGTTCCAAAGTGATGTAAAAATTGCCACCTTTTCATCAAGTAAGATCAGAAAGCCTGGAGCAGTAAAGGAAGAAAGGGGGGTCACCACATTCCAGGCTTGGAACCCCAAAAGGCCCATCACTTCAGACCTCGGGCAGCAGCACACATTCCTGTCCTCTGCAGAGTCCCCAGACACCAGGCCCCACATTCCTGTTTCTATCCCTTTGTCCCCTCCCTAGGCAAGGACTGTGCCTGCAGGTGGGTCTCATTTGCCACCCACGTGACTCACAGGCTCTCAATGCCTAAGCACCCCAGGAATGGCTCTCTTGGGGTGGGTGGGGACAGTGCAGACTTCACCTTACCTGAAACGATGGTGTAACCAATCCCCCGGGGTCGCCCTTTATCCTGGTCCACTGCAGTGATCACACGGACAGTGGTACCCTGTATGGGAGAGAGGAGGGACTTGAGTTTAGTTACCTAGTGCCACCTTTCTTTGTAGGTGTCCTGGCACCCTCATTTTCTCTCTCCAGGCTGACTCACCTTCTGCCAAGACTGCCCAGGAAGTGTGTGCCACACAATATCGCACCTAGTGGTTCTTGAGTTCAATGGCCCTACCCCCCACCCCAGTCCCCCCTCCTCAACACTGGCAGAGGAGGGACCAGGAGCTGAGACAGCCAGAACAGGGAGTGTGGGCTCTGCTCTCCCAGAGCAAGGGGGTCAAGGACATGGGCTCAAACAACTGCTGTACACAGTTGGGGGTACTCCATTGGAGAGAGAGAAAGGCTGAGGAAAAAGTCTACTTGGGGGAGCCTGCAAAGGGGTGCCCAGATGGCAGCATTTAGGATGGGTTGTGTGGAATGAGTAGTTGCAGAATGAATAGTTTTCCAGAAAGAACAAATGACAAGGACAGTGCTCCAGGGAGAAGGCAGAGCACAGGCCAGGGCTTCCTTATAGGAGTTTCTAGGAAGCCATGCCGGCATGTAAAAGCATCAATGGATAGGGTGGTTCGTTGCCTGAATAAACAAATGTACACTTGGAGAAAACAACATTACCGTCACAGCCACCACTTGCAGAGTCACCTTTTGCCAGGGGACAATGTCTACCTTGCTCCCCATCCTACATCATAGCACCGCCCTTGCCAGCTGACCCTGTCCACCCTGTGCCTGTCATTTATAGCTCAGCAGCAGTTTCCCTGGGTGATGAACAGTGGGCAGGCCCCACTCCCATCCCCTGGGGACAGAAGTATCTTCCTTGGCACTATGAAGAGGATAAGTTACCAAGTGTCCCCTGAGGAGCCTAGGGTGACACAGAAAGGCAAAATGTCTTCCTTGGGCACAGAGGGCTACCAGGAACGCTGGTCATGGTCACATGCATTCTACCTTCCCAATGCCCTTTTTTCACAGATAAGGAAACAGAGATAGGAAGCTTTGAGACTTTTCAAGATCCCAGGGCAGGGAGGGAGTGACGGTCTAAGCTAGAGCTCACATTTAAGTCCTCTGGCTCTAAAGTGTTCATGCCCACCAGGGGATGCATTCTCTGTAGGGTTCTGTTAGAATAATGCTAACGTCATTTAGGAACGTCACTGCTCTGTGGCAGAAGCTATTCTAAGCATTTACAAGTGCTCACTCCCGTGTTATTTGAAAAGGCCTGTGTGCCAGCCTTCCCTGGAGTTGCAGAGTGTTCTAGCCTGGTCAGGGGCCAAGGAGTAGTCACCTGGTGGATGGGTCACCTTGCCTTCCTAAGCTTTCTAACTTGAGAACTGCTTCTTCTTTTCAAACACAGAGAGCTCCTGACACACGGGCCATAGAAGCCACAAGGAAGCCTACCTGAACTTGAAAGGTCTACACAGCTTCCCCCATCATTTCACTGGAGGCTCTTTTGTGGGGGACCTGCCCATCCAAGGCTCACTCCTCATCAGGAGAGGCCCAGTCTATCTCCAGCAGGTGGTCCTAAGGATGCAGAATTCTGTCCTGAGGCTTTAGCTCCCAGGACGGGCTTTCTGGACATCTGGACAGCTCCATCTTGCTTGAGTGTCATATGTGTCCTAGTAAGGGTCCCCCAGCTACCCCTGGGCTGCTGCAGCAGGGACCAGTCTGCTGGGTAACTACACCAGAGGTCATCATAGCTCTGAGGCAGAGTCACTAAGCAATATACTTAAGGGGCAGCTCTATGCCCTTGCATGTCCCAGGCAGGTTGGGTTGAGCTCAAGGGGACAAGACGGGGTAGGTAGGGCAGCCACACCAGTGTAGAGAGGACTGTGGCTCAAGATCCCTCCTTCCTTAAAGTCTTGTGTTCAGATCCCTGTGGACACTCATGCCCAGGTTACAGTAGGAAAGCAGAGTGATCCCCCATGGGCAGGACTTAGCAGGGACCAGCTGGCCCTGCGGGGGGACAGGACAAAAAGCTACTCTCCCAGCCAGAGCCGGACCCAAGATTCTGTAGAGTGAGCTCTGCCAGGCTCCTGATCAGGTTTGGGGTTTCATCTCTTTTTGGGTAAATAAATCCACTTTTAATAAAACTCTGAGCTTTTAATACAAGTGCAGACAGAAAGACTGGAAACGTTATGAGAAGGAATTAACAGAGAGGCATGGGGGCTCTGGGGAGCCCATGGCTCTTGTTTCAGAGTCTCGGTGATTATATTTTCAATATACTGCAACTTATTTCCAAAGACAAGGAATGAGGAAGTGGAGTCCTGCCAGGCAGGAGCTGGACCTCTAGGAGGAGGTCTGCCAGCAGTGCCTGCCTGTGGGGAGTGAGGCCACTGGGGACATGACCAAGGGATCGGGTGGGAGGCCCAGCTCGAGCTGCAGGGCTGGGGCAAGCCTACCCTGCTGAACATTTCCTTCCCTTCCACGGACATTCATGCTATGGAGAGGTGACCCTCTGGGAAACAAGGCTCCTCCCAGGGAGGTGACAGATGCCTAGGCCTCCTTGTGACAAGAAGAAAAGCAGAGAGGTGGTTAAGGGTTTGAGTCCTGTGAATAAGTCTTAACCATTGGCTTTCTCATCTATAAACTGGGTATAATAAGGTCCACTGTTCAGTAATTTTCTCTCTCTTGCATTCTCTCTCTCTCTCTCTCTCTCTCTCTCTCTCTCTCTCACACACACTCACACACACAAAGCAAATGTAATATAAGGACTGTTCCTATGAACTGGTTCATACTGTATGCATTTAATGAAAATTTGGGTGCCTCAACACACACACACACACACACACACACACACACACACACACACACACACACACACACACGTTTCCAAACAATTTCAGTTAATTTGGATTACCCATATCCAAGGTTAATAAGACTACCCTCAAGGGAAGGACTTCTCTGCACATTTGAAGAGTTGGTCCCTACAGGGAAGACCCAGCTTTAGTTGAGCATCTCCTGAGTATCAACCCTTTGTTGGGCACCTGGTACAAGTTCTCACACTCCCTTCTCATAGGAGGAGCAAGTGTTGGGTATACCGAGGTTCTCCTGGTAACCCTCACCAAAAAAGGGGGTATATATGAGGACATAGGCTTGGTGCATTCAGGGGTTTGCTTAAGGTCACAAGCGTGGGGGGAGTAAAGGTGACTAGTGAATGGAGGGCTGGGCCTGATGAGTCACTCACCATGGCCCAAATGAGAGGGCCAGGTGAGCCTGGTGGGCAGAACTGGGGGTATACTCCTCCAGAGGGGACTGTGTCTCTGCCCTCTGTGGTGTGTCCTCGGGGAAGTGACTGCTGTAGGGACCAGACGGGGTTGTGCCAAGCCTTGGGGACCACTGCCCATCTCCTTTCCTACCAGCTCAGCTGGGACACCCCGGCCTCCATTTCTATGACAGGATTAAGGACTTAAAAGGTGACATGTAGTTTTCTTTGGAAGTGGGAGGGGGTGCCCTTCGGGTGGGGGAGCCAGTTGGTGGGGGCTGCTGGATACTTCCTACGAGAGCTGCCACAGCAGATTCGGAGGCAGAAAATCCTATTTCTCAGTCCTTAATTCCAGTCAATTCCAGTCAAAGGGCTGATAGGCATCGCCGGCAGTAATTTGTGCAGCCTATCCGCTCTTTTTACCTTCTATCGGCCCCTCACTGACGGGCAGGCCGACATGCTGCTGCTCGAGTGAGGAAATTAAAATTTGATGCAATAATCCCAAATAAGAAGGATTTTATTAGGTAATATATACACTTTAGATGAGGCATGCTAGCTCGATACACTGATAGAAGGAGACATACATGCTGGGAATGGCAGATAAAGAGGGGGGAGTGAGGAGGGCGGGGTGGAGCACGGTCTTGATGGAGCCCCTGAGAGCTGAGGAGGCCTAGCTGGGCATGGGGGATGCCTGGGTCCTCCAGCGCAGGAGACTGAACAGGCCACGCTGCATCTCAGCCCTGGCCAGCTGGGGAATGAGTGTGTTAAATCAGCGCACCACACTAAAGGAATGTGGGGACAGAGATCAAGGCACGGAAACCGATTAGAAGCCTGGAGAGGTCCTGCCTGAAGTGTATGGGAACTGGCTTGGAGGGAAAGGGCTGCATGGGATAGGAAAGTGGGGACTCCTTTTTAAAGTGGGGAGCCAAGAGAGGCAGAACCAAACAGAGGCTATGGGGCTGGTCTACACCCAGAAGAGGCTGTAATCTTACTGCCTGGTCTGCCTCCCTCAGCCCAGCCATGACCCTGCAGAAGAGGGGTACAGCAGCTCCCCCAGGCTCTGGTCTCACAGTGGGTGACCCTGGCAAGGCAAAGAAATGCTAAGATCTCTGAGCTAAGAGAAGACAATCATATGGGATGCTGGGAAACAGGATGTGAGGAGAGTGGGTATGAAGGAAGATAAGTGTCCAGTCTGCTCCATGGAATCATCTACAAAGGAGGGTGTGACTTTGCCACAGGGAGCCTAATAAATACCTGAGAGATAGCTATGAGGCTGAAACAGTGAATGAGCGCATAGCTAGAAAAACCTAGAGTCCGCAGTCAAAATGAACACCTGTGCCAGCTAAGGAGACCTTGGGGTCTCCACAAATGCACCCTGAGGACAGGGTCTTGTGACTAACTTACAAAGCAGTGACTGAATACCATAGCTCACCCCATAGCTGATGGACCCACCAAGTCACCAGCCACCCAGTTTGATGTCTGTATGTCGCTGGGTTCTTTAACCTCACAACCTCCACCCTGAAGCTCTGCGGCCAGGGTGGTATTGCTGCCTCGGATGCTACTCGCCTTATTTTCTGGTGTAGAAGTGGTTGGGGGCAGGAATGGCAGTGCAGGAGTTCCTTTGGTGGTCTAGCCAACATCATGTTATATATACCAATCATGTTGGCTTCAAGTATTTTCTCTGCACTCTGTCCTAGGGGCGACCCAAAGAAGGGACATCTTGTTTACTCGTGGATCAAAAGTACCCTATGGACCTATATGAACATTACAAGTGACACTGGGATTGAGTGGTAATTATGTAGTCAGATGTCAGTTGTACCACAGTCTGGAGGGAAAAGGTGGCTATCTTTGCGACTGGTATGGGTATGGGGAAATTTAGGAAAAGGTTTTAAGAAATGAGGGAGAGACCTGAGTTGGTAAGGAAAGGCCGCATGCATGTAACACAGGTGGCAGGACCAAGGCCATGTGACCAGAACTTGTGTTCATTCGTTTATTCATTGCATAGGTACTTCTCAAACTTCACTATACCTGTGTCCATAGGAGACCTGTCCCTGCTGAACCATGCTACCAGGAGACTACAGCAGTACAGACTGGCCAATTCATTTCAGGGCACTGAGCCCTCAGAAGTCCAGGGCTGGGAACAGGTGGTGGGCCTGGCCTCATCTGAAAATAGCAGTCAGATCTGCTCTGAGGATGAGGCAACAGGCCTGGCAAAGCTGGGTTTGGAGGCAGAAAGGAATGAGAACCTGGATATGGGTAGGGTGAGCTGGAGCAGCTTGGGCCTCAAAAGCTAGGCCTCCCACTTGCCTAGAATACCAAGAAGAGAAGCCTGGGACTGAAGACGTTGAGCTGTCCCCATCTGCTCTCCAAACAGCTTCCAACATCCACAGTAACAAGAGGACAGGCATCTCACTCTTCAGGCTTTTCACACCACACCTGGCCCTCAAAGTGACTCCAGGAGCCGGAGAGAGAGCTCAGTGGTTAAGAGCAGGTACTGCTCTTCCAGAGGACCTGAGTTTGATTCCCTGCACCCACATCAGGTGGCTCACAACTACCTGTGATACCAGCTCCAGGGTATCTGACACCTCTAGCCTCTGTGGGTTGTAGTACTTGTATGTATACAAACACACACACACACACACACACACACACACACACACACACACACACAAAGTAAAAATAAGTAAATCTTTAAAAAAAACCAAGTGACCAAATTCCCCTGGTGCCAAGGATGCCAACATTTAGAACAGCCAGAGCATTCAAGCAAAGGCCAGGCTCCCCTGGCCTGTATTGGCATTGGAGTGCTGTCCACACCCATCTCTCCCTATGCTTGAGGCCATGAGCTAAGTAGGGGACTGGTGGGGCCCCGACGATCCCCAGCTCCAGGGGTTCCCTGCTTTGCTCTTAGAGCTGAGGCCCTTTCTCTCCACAAATCCATTCCCCAAGCTGTATATTAAAGGGCTCCTGTCTGTTCCGGGAGGCATCCTGCTCTCCTTATCAACCAACTCATGGTAAGTATTCTACTGCAGTCTGTACAAAAGCAAGGAGGCTGCCAGGCCAGGGACACTGCCCTTGTACACCTGCCCTTAGCTCAGCCCCGGTCAGGTACCTGTGGAGTGGACCTTGGTACATTTTGCCCTCTGAGACCCTCTCCCAATCACAGTTGATTGGACCAGGGGCAGACATGTAGTCCCCAGGGGTACCAAAGGATAGACTGCCTGGCAACTGATGACTTGTGACATAAACACAAAATTAGGCATCTCTCTTGAAATCTGCACTTAGACATTGAAAGACTGAGCTGTTGGAGAGGGCAGCTGGCTCCATCAACTCTCAGGAACAGCTCTGGTCCGTGAGGCCTCACGGCAGAAAGCAAGCTGCACCATTGTGGGCAGTCTTTGTGGGCCCTGCTCATGGCCAAAACAGGCAGTGGGCTAGGAGGACATGGCTGAGCTACGCTGATGCTCAGCTGAGCCTGGGTCTACATGGGCATGCCCGTTGCTGCTCCTGCATCTTTCTGAATCAGTTCTCCTTATGGCCTCAGTCTGCCTGGCTTTTTGCCTTGCATAACTCTCTGGGAGGGTGAGAGGGACAACAGACAAGATATGGTGTGCATGCATAGGACCATGGGTTTCCACTGCCCTCACAGGGACAGGGAATGACCATCACTGGAGCATGGGGTGGGACTTACCGGAGGAGAGTGCTCATAGATGTTGGTGCTGTAGGGCAAGTTGATGAAGATAGGGTCCATGTCCTGCACATCCGTGATGATGATGGCTAGGTTGGCCAGCGTGGACAGAGGCCTGGTCTTGTCTTGATCCTTATAAGACAGAGCACACAGCCTTGTGTTAATGGATGCTGCAGACACATAGGAGTGCACGCACCTGCCTGTAGCATGTGACGTGTATGCACAAACACACATGTGAATTCTTACATTGCACTCCTACAGGGAGGCTCAAGAGCACTAAGACTCTTCAGTGGACTCTGAGCTACTCAGAGAAATAGAAACAGGACAATGCAGAGAATTGGTGGTTTATTCTGAGTCACAACAGAGGTCTGGGGTGGTAGCTGATCAGTTTGCCCCAGTGTCAGTCTGGACATCAGGTGGGGGGACCACTGGTGTAGATGGAAACGATGCTGTTCTTAGCACCTTTCTTGAATTCAGCCAGGGCCACTGCCCCCAATCCCAGGACAGAGGGCACCATCTAAGATGGGGCCCCTGGGCCACCAAAGCAGTTCTTTAGAAACTCCTCTGATTTACTGGGTAGTAACTTTTCCAATTAAACCAGTAGGGGGAGCTCCAGGCCCTGAGTCATCTGGGGACTTGGACGCTGGGCTAAGATGTCAGGTGGACCATGCCCCTGGGGCCAGATTCTCAATATTAAGATATCATAGTTAGAAACTTGGTCTTATGAAGTCCACTAATAAAAGAATCCCAAAGACTGTATTCTGAACCCCTAAATGCTCAGCAGACGGAGGTTAGTGCAGCAGCCTGGTACAACCAGGTAACAAGAGCCAATAACAAAAACTATGATGCCCAAGGCAGGTGCCACCCAGTCACCACGTGACCCTGTATTTGCATGTGTAGTTACCATCTGATGATCTTTCAGATGGGTTGACACGACTAAGGGAGAGTGACTTGTCCATAGTCACCAAGAGAGTAGCCAGGACCTGAATGCAAGTCATTTCACACAGAATTATCTCTCCTTACCAGCCCCGACTTGGTGCTTAACACTGGCCTGGTTTCCAGCTTGCTAGACAAACTCCCATAAGCCCTTTTTAAAAATAAAATGCAAGGCTCCCAACAGCCCTCAGGCTTACAAATTCTCCCCTTGAGACTTGAAGAGTAACTATCTCCATCCAGGTTAGCTCTGCCTTGGTATCTCTGGGCCATTTGCCATATCATGTGAAGCTTGACATGTATCTCTTCCCTCTAGAGAGGGCACTGTGGAGCCCATGGGTGGGATACAAAAGGGTGTGTGTGTGTGTGTGTGTGTGTGTGTGTGTACATGCTCATACAGGGAGGACAGCTTGAGCAGGAGGACTTGAGCAGGGGTATACAATCCCTGGCCACGGGACATGAAGGACTATGAGGCACCCAGGGAGACTCTGGGAAGCCTAATCTTTTGGACAGGAGGACAGGAGGTGTTGTTGGTCTTTCTCTTACCAAGCTTTTGCGGAGCCAAGCTAGAGCTGGCTGCTGGCTAGCTGGTACCTGCTATCCCCGCCCCACCCCCATGACTACAGTTCTGTTCTTGCCACAGCTGACCCCACATAGCCCACGCTGGACTCTGTGGTGGGGAAGACGGATGGCCGAGGGCATACCTGGCTGGGTAGGCCAATGCCTGGCTCCCTGTAGTGGCCGTGGGGCCTGTGGCTCTCTCCCCTGTTGCTGACATACATGCAGGATAGTCACCTTGTAGAAGTACCTAGCAGCCAATAGGTACTCAGCTGTCTGAGGCCCCCTGGTTATCAGGGACAAGCGAGAGGCTATCTCCCTGGAAGTCTTTGCTCCTCCCTCCACTACTCAAGACCTGATTGCTGGTGGATTAGCAGCAATTGCTCTGTATTCATCACCCCACTGGGAGACTGGCCTTTGAATGGGCCTGGCCACCCACATTCCTGCCTGTGCAGCTCTGGTCTAGTCCTACATCCCAACGCCATTTGTATGCTTAGTGGAGATTACCCTACAGGACAGGTTCACAGGCAAAGAGGGCAAGTTCCTGAATGTTTCTGAGCCCAAGTGTGTACATGGGATATCATGAAAGGGAAGGGGGCACACAGAAGGTATGGATGGGCATACCCCAAGAGTAAATCCCTGCATCCCAAAAGTTAGTTTTCCAAATAGCAATGCAGGCCACCTCCAGGAAACTAATACTTAACTAGGGGAGAAAGTAAGTCCTCTACAGGAAATCAGGCCAGAAGCTCGAGGCCTCTCTAGGTCCTGGCCAATCTAAGGGAGTTCTGTCTTTCAAAACTAGATCATCATCAGCACATCCTGGGCTGTCAAGCTGCTTTATTTGGCTTGAGGTTAGCTGTCCCCACTGCAGCCACACGGGGCCAGGGTCGGGTGCCCACTTGCAGCCATAAGAGGCCAGGGCTGGGTGTTCTCTCATAGTCAAGGGGCCAGGGCTGGGTGCCCCCTCTGCAGTTGCATGGGGCCAGGACTGGGTGCTATGAGCCATGGAGGAGTAAAGAGTTTCCATGGTTTTTTCTCCTCTCGGCCTGAGCTGCTCTGAAAACAGATCTGAAGGAGAAGGGGAGGGGATGCAGTCCTAGCTTTGCAGCCTGCTGAAGATGCAGCCATGCTCCCAGGTGGCAGCCTGGAGGAGGAGGATAGGCAAGGCTAGGACCCTGTCTAGGGCATGGCTTGTTTATCCTCTAGCCCTTCACAAACAGTTGGCATTAAAGACCCAGTTGCATGTCCTAGAGACTCACAGTCTTCTGACCATGGGGCATGGCAGCCAGAACCTAGTACTGGGAACCAAGGGACCTGGATGTGGGTCACACTCCCCTGTACTCATTGGCTGTGGGAATCTCAACACTGCCATCTGTAAAATGGGCTAATTCTCATCCCCTGCCCTAAATTGACTCATCCTGCAATTCACCAGTGTTGGCAGGGTACTTAGTTCAGTGGATACTCTCTCGTAAGTGTCACCACTCTACAAGATTGGGGTCAGGAGGTCTGGACTGTTCTGCTGCTGCTTGCTGTGTGGTGTTAGAACACAGCTGGGTTGACACCTCTGATCTGTGCCCCAATGAGTAAGAAGGTACTTACCCTAACTATCATGAGGAGGGTACCAGTGCTGGTTCTGGAGATGGTCTTGTGGGGTGATGGAGGGCAAACCTCTGAATCATCCCTAAGCCTTAGTATTCTCATGGGCATCTGTAAAATGGGCATCTCAATAATACTCATACTTGATAACTGGGGTGGTGACTCACCGTGGCATTTACCGTGAGCTGGTAGGCCTGTGTGGTCTCGTAGTCCAGCTCCCGGATCACAGAGACAATGCCACGGGCACTGTCGATGGCAAAGAACTGAGAGGGGGGCTGGAAGGAATAGAGGACGCTGCCGCCTGCTCCCAGGTCTGGATCTGTGGCGTTGACAATGAAGATGGGTGTTCCCACTGGTGTATTCTAGGTGAGAGCAAAGAAAACAAGAGGATTAGCCTTGCTCCACCCAAAGCAGCTGTTCCATCAGCCACTACCCACGCCCCCAGCGCTATTAATGGCGCCCCTGCAGCCAACTGGACCAGCCTGTCATTTCCATTCTAAGTGGGTTTAGAGGAATGTAAAATGCATGATTTCTCTTTTCCCCTTTTTGATGGCCTCCTGGTGGCTGTAAGAGCACTGGCTCCAAAGATGACCTGCTTCTCCCAGAGTCTTAGAAGAGGGGCCTTTCAATCCCCAAACCGATTTCTTGATGGTTTCAGTTCCTCTGCCCAGTGCCCCTTGGCTGCCCAAGCTGCAGCAGGCTGCCCTGGAGGATGACTAGGAACCTGCCTGTGGGGAAGTGTCAAGGGCAAGAGTGGAAGGTGTGTGCCTCGGGCCAGACATCAGGGACCCTGGAGGCTGCGCAGGGAAGGGGCATCCTGTGCCACTTCTGGGCCTTGGCAATCTGCCAGCAGAGAGCTGCAGGTGACTGAGCTGCACCCACCTCCTGGGAAACTTCAAAAACTCTGTGACCCCTGCTCTATCATGTGTATAAACAAACCCTTATTCCTTTCTAACTTGAGGTGGCTCCTTAAGGCCACATCCTCATGGGAGGTGGGGCTTCCAGAATCTTCAGGCAAGATGCTGTGCCCTGTGGCTCACCAACCTGATCTACTGTACTGCCTAAGCCAGTGGCCACCTTCTTCCACAGCCCTCAGCTCCAGGGCAGCCATGGGCTCTGTCTACCTTGCATAGCATAGGGGCTAGCATACAATGGATAGTCAATGAGTGCTGGTATGAGCGAGCATGTGGATGGATCTCATGTGGATAGATCTCGGGCAGCAATAGCTGGTTAGAGTGTAAGGGTCTGCTTGTATCTCCTACTCCCATCCACCCTCCATGATACCTGCTCACCACTGGCATAGATTTCCCTACACTGTACCAAGCTCTGGACACTTTGGAGGAAAGACAATTGGATGAAGCTCTTTTCAGAGAGGACAAAGTCAAACAACCATCGATAGCTCTGTGCCTGGCCCTGGGCTATGGGCTGCCAACTCTGAAAGACAGCTTTCTATGTAGTAGCTATTAGAAAAAGAAGTGGAGGTACAGAGAGAGCCAGTGGCCCAGAGTCATACAGCGAGGATATGTGTGGCAAGGTCTTGGGTTCAAGTGCTGCTGATTCTAAGCATATGATCTGATTTTCTTTTTTTTTTTCTTATTTTGTGTGTGTGTGTATGTGTGTGTGTGTGTGTGTGTGTATGTGTGTGTGTGTGTGTGTGTGTATGTGTGTGTGTGTGTGTGTGTATGAGTGTACTGCCAGCATGTATGTAAAATGCACCCATGTTGTGCAATGCCCAAGGAGGTCAGAAGAGGGTGTTGAATCCCCTGGAACTAAAGTTATAGGCAGTTGTTAGCCACTATGTGGGTGCTAGGTTTTGAACCCAGGTCTTCTTCAAGAGTAGCCAGTACTCTTAACCACTGAGCCATCTCTCCAGCCCCTATCATAATCTCATTTTCTTTACCAAAATTTTCCCTACAACCCTGGCACTGGCTCTTTAGGTCAGCCAGGGTCTCTAGAGAACACAATCACTGAGATACCCTGGTCCTTCCTGAGTTGGCCAACAAATGTGGGAATGACTGGAGATCGCCCAGCACCCTTTTCACAGAAACAGGAGGCAGGAGCAGGAGGGCCCTCTCCTGCTCACCATCTGTGGCTCCCCAGTACCCTTGGCACAGAACACAGAACACAGGCCCATGTGGACTGGCCCTGTCTCGCCCTTCACGCGTTATTTCCTGGTGGCAGGCAGCCATTTGTACTGCTTCAACTCAGCGGGTCCCTCACACCTCTGGGCCTCTGAATAGGCTTTTCTTCCAGTAGGTCTTCCCTCCCCAGCTGGGCTGCTTGGAAAACAGATGTTCTTTCCCTTGAAAAGACACACAAGCCTGCGGGAGGGCAGGGCAGCCAAGTGCTAGGGTTTCAGACATGACCAGAACATGGGTTTGAATCCCAATCTCGCTGTGTGTCTCTGGGTTAATTACCTAAATTCGCTGTTTCTTAATCCCCTTTCCATATGCTAAAGTTAATACTATCTCACAGGGTTGTTATGATAGAAGCTGTAAAGCACATGAATGCTCAGATATGTTTCAGAGAAGCCAGCCTCATGTGGCATACAGCTCAGCCCAGCTGTATGGCTCTCACCAGACATCAGTGCTCTAGCCCCTGCCTTGGGGGAGATGAAGACATTTCACTTGCCCACACCGGTGGTCCAGGACAAAGGCTCTCTGACTATTAGATCTAAGGATCTAAAAAGCAATGCTCAGAGAGTGTTAGAGGAGGGGAAAAGGGCTTGGGCCATGTCTGACCTTCTTGGATTATGTTTCATGTCCTATAGCGAAACTCCATTTAATTTCTGCATAATTTAGGAGAGATTTTTTAAATGGCCCTGGCAAGGAGCCATTCATAGACTTAGAAGGGACAGGCGATTGGAGAAACAAGAGTGCTGACTTTCTACATTTCTGGTCCTGTGCACCATGCTCTGCCAAGAAAGTGTGGGCGGGGCTTCTCCAGCCCCAGCTGCTGCTCCCTGGGAGGCACAGATGCGCATGCAGGTCTGTAATCTCAGCAGAAGCAGAGTTCCAGGACCCAGGTGGTGCATCTAGTCCCTGCAGACAGTGGACCCTGGAGGCTCAGGGCATGAACTTAGAATCAGACCTACTAACTCTGAATCCAGATCTTTCCACTGGAGGACCTCAGACATAAGCTGTTAACGTTCCTTTTACTTCTGTTTCCTCATCTGTAAAGTGGAGTTATCAATAGCAGGGCCTTTCAGAGCTGCTGTGAGGAGGAATTATAGGAGATAAGATATGGAAAACATGGCAATGTGCAGAAAATATTCAACAAATGGCCACTGCCATTGTTGTTCTAGCAGTAAAGTGTCATCGTAAACAGAGGGAGATGAGCCCCACTCAAAAGGAAGAGGTAGCACATGAACTTGGACAGGCACCTTTAAAATTCCAGGAGAAAGGGGCTGGCGAGATGGCTCAGTTTGCAAAGGCGCTTGCAGCCAAGCCTGATGATCTGAGTTCAACCCCTAGGACCCACATGGTGAAAGGAGAGAACCGACTACAAATTTAACCTCTGACTCTACACACGTGTGTGTGCCCACGTGTGAGTGAAAGTATGGATTGGTTCCTTGTTCCTTCAGAAAGGTGAGGTATCGGGGGAGAGCCTAAGGAAACCCCACAATAGATGCAGAGTCTGTAAGTGCGGAGGGTGGAACCTAAGGTGAGGGGAAACCTGAGGTCAGAGTCATCCTGACCTAGGAGGCCAGTTCTGTCTTTGCACCACTCTGGATGGCTTGAATGTAGGAGTTGCAAGGAACCTTTGGGGTGATCTAGGCCAGTCCCCTGACCCCCATTTTACAGATGAGAAAATTGAGGCCAAAGAGGTGCCACGACCAGCTTTACGTCTTACAATGGCTCCTGACAGGGGTGAGTGTAAATCAGGGGCAAGGAAAGCCAAGCCCTAGGTAGGCCTGGGAGGCAAGAAGTGGAAAAGAATAAAAAGCCCAGAGAATGCCGGCTCCCCTTCTTATTAAGAGTCCACAGACATGCCTTTTAATATGCAAATCCATGCAAATCACTCACGATGATCCACAGGGTGTGGGGAGGTGGCAGGGTGAGGAGAGAACAGACAACCTGGTCATTCACTGTCACAGTCAACCCAGAAGGATACCCCCTTGGCCCCATCCCCTTCAAAGCCCTGGTGCCTGTGTGGCTATTCCTTTCAGTGAGTGGCCTACACTATGCAAGTCAAAGGTAGGGCAGGCCCTGCCTCCTCTAGCCCCCGTTTAAACTCCACATCACTTGTGATGGGCCTGCTGTAAATGGGCCACCCTGTGCAATTCAGAGACAAATAAATCTTGTTGCTACTCCTCAGGGTGACAAGGGAATAGACTCTGGGAAAGTTCTGCTGTGCTTGGGATCTTGTTCGTTAATAATAATGATGAATGGCTTGCTTCTCCTGTGCAGGGCAAGCTACATTCCACTCCGGGCCTCTCCTGAGGTGGCTAGGGTGTTCACTGGAACAGGGTAGGGGACTGTACATAGTCAGGGAGAGAGGAAGGAGAGCAAGCAGGGTGGGGGAGACAACAGGGATGGGGATGGTGAAAAAGAAGGGAGACAGGAGAGGATGAAGGAAAAGCGGACGTGAAGAGAAATGAGATGGGGACAGGAAAAGGGATAGCGCGGGGGCCCAAGGGAAAAGGGGTTCTGAAGAGAGGGATATGTTGGAGGAGGCAGGGGGGACAGTTGTTGGGACAGGAACCAACAGAGAGAGGATGAACAGAGACATCATGGAGGAAAAGTTGGACACAAAGGAAGAGAAGTACAAAACATTGGGCTGGGGATGCAACTCAGTTTGATCCCAGGACCACATAAAACCAGGCATGGTGACACATCCCTGTAATCCCAGAAATGAGGAGGGGAAAGCAGGAGGATCAGAAGTTCAAGACCAGCTTGGGATATGTGAGTCCTTGTCTCAAAAAAAGTACAAAAATTTAAACCAACGAGCACAAAGTATAAAAAATTAAGCAAGTCAGAGCTTAGTGCTACCCGCCTTCAATCCCAGCACTTGGGAGGCAGAGCAGGGGGAGCTCTGTGAGTTAGAAGCCAGCCTGGTCTACATAGTGAGTTCCAGGTGGGACAGAGCTACATAGTGAGAGTCAAAGCAAAACAGCAACAAGAAGCAGCAAAGGGAGAGACAGACATGAGAAGACTCATCCCTCTGGATTGTGGGGAGCCCTCTCCAGTCAGGCGAATTCTGTACCCTTGACCAAATCCAGCAAAACCTGCTACATCACTACCTAGGTACCATCTCTAAAGGCACTATAAATATTAATGGAATGCTTGCTAGATGCACTACAGTTTTTAATATCTTATTATAGAGCCTGTTATAAAATGCATTAGTAATAAATTCCTCACAG